ACCACCTCCTACTCCTACTCCTACTCCTACTCCTGCTCCTGCTCCTGCTCCTGCTCCTGCTCCTGCTCCTGCTCCTGCTCCTGCTCCTGCTCCTCCTACTACTTCTTTTTCTACCTCCTTCTGCTAGTACCACCACCACTGCCCAACTGCTAGTAGCTTGGCGAGTTTCACTTGGGACCTCTTCTAGGGCTTAGGGATGCTTAGGGTCTAGAGCTGGCTACGATAGAAGCCTAACACAACACCAAGATCATCATTCCTTAGGGCTCCCTGTTACAACTTTACTGTAAAGCCTGTCCGCATGGGCCCAAAACACTATTCTAACTATTAAGGCCCCTACATCACAGGTTGCGAAGCCTTGTCGTTCTTTGGGTAGAGGCCGACGACAGCATCCGGATCGTCGGGGCAACGCGGAAAATGATCGGGAGGGTGGCCAAACCATTCGAGCTTGCCTCCGGGGGTTTAGTGGAGGTTTTTTAGATTCACCCTCCCCACTCAACCGAGACGTGAGAAGATGCTGGGCCTTAAGGTGGAACAATGTAGATTATCGGACATAAGGTTTGGGATTTTAGTGTTCGGCATGCGCAGACTAACTGGCACCGCAGAAAAGTCAACGGTGCAATGAGGTGAGGACTGCAGGTTTTCGTTCATGGTGAGGTGGTCGAAGCTGTGCAGTACAAGATCCTACTCTGAGGACACGAAAGTTGGGCCGCAAGCCGCTCGAACCAGAAACTCATTGAACCCCCTCTAACCCTAAACTCCAAAAAGTAAAGCAGACTCTGTGCACAACAAAACCAACGATATTTGGGGCAACTGCACAAGAAGGTTGCACACCAAGTCTTCAGTCCATGGCCCGTTTTGGAGGAGTCTGGACGGTTCATAACAAGGAGAAGAAAGAATGCCCCCCTCTAGTCGTATATGCTCCTATATACACGTAGTGTAAAATACCCCAAAACACTATTCCATTTACTGAGACCCTTATCTTAGACCCTAAACCCAGAAACCAAAAAAAGACAATGCTTCGCCAATGCCTTTGTAGCACATGCGGATGCACGTTCTTCGGCACGTGTCAGGGGAAGGTTCCCCTTCCACAGGGTCGAAGGTCCTGCTGACGCCTCAGTCTGAATGGTTTATGATTGGGTATGAGACAGGGGTCGGAATCACTAGTAATAGTACTCCTTACAGCCCCTAGGGCTTTCGATTGTCGTATCATAGATCCCGACCAATTGTTAGGGGCCCCTACATTAAGGTTTAGGGCTGAGGGCTGCTAGAGTCCACCCCTGCCTCGTGAAGTAGGGGGGATTGGAATCGCTGGGTTGGCCTTGAGGTGTGTGGATCCGACGAGTATTCCACGCCTGTATGCGACTTATCTGATAGTTCAACAGTTCAACCTACTTGTCGAGTACCCTGGGGAATTAAAGGTTAACCTTTGGGAGTATATTGGTATATATAGGGATCAGAGTAGACCAAATAGGTTCAAGGTTGCCTAATCTACTACTAGGTCAAGCAGTGAAGAGAAGCGGCTATGTTCCTAACCGTCATGCCGGAAATGATTGCAAAAGGCCCTGTTGGTTCGAATCTGAAGCGCTTCTCATGTTGCAAGAGCTGGCTTGCCCGCCGCAGCTGATGGCACTGAGGAAGCTACGGGACCACCGGGACTGCGCGAATTGCGCAGCGAACAGAGACCCTAAACCCTAAACCC